CTTAAATATTTTAAAAATGTACTGCATGTTTAAAGAAAAGTATCCTTTAGAAAAGTGTTCCTATGAAAGTTATTGTAAAATTTTTAATTCAAAGTTTAACATTTCATTTGGATATCCTCGAAAAGACACTTGCTCATTTTGTAATTTAACAAAGAAAAAGATAACTGCAATAGATTGTCAAGTACCTAGTGACTCTGTTGCTGCAAATGATTTGTTATATAAGAAAAATGCTTTAAATGCATCTCTTGAACTTCATCAGAGAAAGGCTGAAATGTTTTACCAAAGAAAAAGAACTGCACGTTTACAAGCTCAGCAAACTTTGGAATGTTCAGCAATCTGCTTTGATTTTCAAAAAAAATCTGAAATGCCCAAACATTTCAACTCAAGATGTATACTATTCCAGGCAACTGTCATTTTACTCTTTCAACATTCATATTCTTTCTTCTCAAAAAGTATATTTTTATTGCTATGATGAAACCATTGGCAACAAAGGCTCAGATGATGTATGTTCTATGCTTCATGATTTTTTTACGTTTCATTTACCTGAAAATGTAAAGCATATCAAATTGTTTTGTGATTCCTGTGCAGGACAAAATAAAAACTGGACAGTTTTGCGTTTCTTTTATTATCTAGTTCATAAAGTAGAAAGATTTGACAGCGTAACTCTTTCATACCCTACTAGAGGTCATTCCTACATGGAATGTGACAGAGATATGGCTATTATTAATCAAAAGTCTCCAGCAGAAACACCTGAAGATTGGAGGAGTGCTTTTCGGGCATCTCGAAAAATACCAGAGCCTTTCAACATTATAAACATGGCGCAAGAAAAGTTTTTGAAGTTTACAGAGTTTTTAAAGCCATACTTTTTAGTTGTTTGTCCATTTAAGACACGTCTCATCAGAGAAGTTGAAATATCAAAGGCTCATTCTAACCTAATTATGTATAGGGAAAACTGGAGCGGTATGTTTAGTCTTATGCGTGTTACATCCCTTAGGTCTGAATCATGTTCTCATTCAATAAGAGGGAAAAGATTGACCCGATCTAAACATGTCTTTGAAGTGCCTGATAAGCCGAAACAAGCATATATAAACCGATTGCCACTTTCTTGTGAAAAATTCATAGACTTACTAAAGCTAAAAAAATTTGTTAGTGAACAAAATAAGTCTTTCTATGATCAGTTGCCAGTTGATAACCTACTTGTCCAGGATTCTGAACCAGAGCAAATATCTGACTCAGAGTAGGAGAATGCAAAAAATAATAATTATTTAGAAAAATGTATTTCTGTATGTTTATATATATATTTTGTTGAAAATAAAAATAACGTTTATTTTTAATAAGGCTTTATTTGGAACAGGGTGTTTATCTGGGCTATAGAATTTCAATATTATAATACTATAACTTTTTAAAAAGTTTTTATAAATGTGATGAGTTATTTGATTTTATTATCTACTCCTATCTACTTTTAATCAAATAAGTGCTCCAAAAGCTATCAAGTTAAGGTAGTTTACAAGCTGCTGAATTTACAACGGAAAAATCACAGATGTCCAAATTGAGTGTCTTGACTTCAAATGGACATTGTGAACAAATATTACTTGTAATTAGCGAAAAGACTGCTTTTATATATTGTTTTA